AAAAAAATAATAATAATTAATTTAAGATAAATTTAAAATAAAAATTATTATTATTATTTTATTTTTATAAGAAATAATGAGTTCGTTACCATACATACATTTATCTATATTACCCTTAGAAAAAAGTTAAAAGAAAAAATAAGATTGTTTGTGATAGGATAGTAAATTAAAATAAATAGATAATGATAGTGTCATGCCCCAAAACAAAGAGCAAAATAGACACCATACACTTGTGAGAGGATCCCACAAAATGCATAAGACTCGAAACCTACTTAATTCATATCTGGTAGTCCACTAACTAAGATCAATATCTCGAACTTAATCTAGCTTTTAATTACCAAAGTTTGACTATGCCAAGAGTGCACAAAAATTATACAACTCCATTAATAAAATCATAACTATCTCCAAGGAAATTTAGCCTATAAAGGAATGATCTATATTTAAAAAATCTATGTCGAACATGAACTAAGTACAAAATCTATGTGGCTCGCTCTCTAACTCATCACTCCCTTTGGTTTCTCATGTCTTAGGTCACACTACCTAAAATGGTGGATGAGGAAAAACTATATGAGATAACTCAGTAAGTAAAATATGGATAGCCCTCATTGAAATTTAAAGTATGTCAAGTAAACATTTTAATTTTAAATAGGAAGAAAATCTCAGTTGTAAATCATTTATGCATATTAAAATTTATTTAGTGATCCCCTGAATTAGTCATGGCCAATGTACTCTCCCAACTAGCTAGACAATAGAAATACCAGTGTACTCTCCCACTGGTAGGATGAACCGGTCATATAGAAATACATGTCAACATGTGCCAGTGTTTACAACTCCCACTGATGGCTTTCAGGAATCATGACCATATTCGAGACAAAACCATGCAAGATTTCAATAGGAAAAATCCATAATTTACAAACCAATTTCTAGAACAAACAAGTAAACTCCATGTAGGCATGCTCAACTCAATAAAAATAGTAACAACTTCATTTCAAATCAATCATGCTCGGGTGCTAATAAAAAACTAGTTTAGGTCCTCCCACCATCTCAACAACAGTTCAAAATATACTTTTAAAACCTTACCTTAAAATCTAAGGGCATTTACTATAGTTTTACTTACCTCACCTTATAGGTATATAACAAGCAAGAATTCAAGAACTCAGGGCTGTTAAGGAGATTTAAAACCTACACCACATCAAATGAATAAACCAGATGAAGGCTAAGGGGAAATCACGTAAAAAGGCAAGGAGAGAAAAAGGAAAACAAGCTTTAGCCTCTTTTATCACCAAATTTCACTTTTAACCCCCTTTAGGTTTGTGAATTTTAGCTATTAGGCCTAAAATAATAATTTCTATCATATAAGTCACTAACTTAAATTCTAAAATTTCATAAGGTTTTGGGATATTATAGATAAGGTTAAAGTAGAAGAAATTATTTGTCTACCCTTAGAAATAAAAAAATAATAATTCATTTAGGATAATGTCATGTCCTAAAACCGAGAGCGAAACAGATGTCATACACTTGTGAGAAGCTCTCACAAATGCACAAGGCTCAAAACCCACTTAATTCATAATTAGCAATCCACATAAACTTAGATCCAAAATCTTAAGTAAAATCTAGTTTTCAATAACCAAAATTTGATTAGGTCAAAGTGCACAAAAATTATACAACTTTATCAGTACAGTCATGACTATATCCAAGGGAATTTAGCCTATAAAAGAATGATCTATATCTCAAAAATCTATGTCCAACATGATTAGTCTAATGGGTCTATCTCCAAAATGAACTAAGTCCAAAAATATAAGTGGCTAGCCTTTTAGCTTGTCACTCCCTTTGGTTTCCCGCGTCTCTGGTCTCACTACCTGAAATGGTGGATGAGGAAAAACTATGTGAGATAACTTAATAGGTAAAAATATGAATAGCCCTTATTGAAATTTAAAGCATGCTAAGTAAACATTTTAATTTTAAACAAAAAGAAAATCTCAGTTATAAATCATTTATGCATACTAAAATTTATTTAGTGGTCCCCTCAATTAGTCATGGCCAATGTACTCTCCCAGTTGACTGGATAATAGAAATACTAATGTACTTTCCCACTAACTGGATAGCAAAAATATCAGTGTGCTCTTTCACTAGCAGGATAATGGAAATACAAAATGAATTGGTCTTACAAAAATACATGTCAACATGTGCCAACATTTATAACTCCCACTAGCAGGCATCAGTAATCATGACAATATTGGAGACAAAACCATTCAAGAGTTCAATAGGAAAATTCATAATTTGCAAACCATTTCAGATCATCAAGATAATCAAGTAAAATTCATGCAGGCATGCTCAACTCAATCAAAATAATAACAACTTCATTTCAAACCAATCATACTCATGTGCTAATGAAAATCGATTTAGGTCCCGCCACCATCTCAAAAATAGTTTCGTGAAGCATTACAAGGCTCATTTGGTTGCCAAAGGATTTACTCAAGAATAAAGGATTGATTATAAGGAAACCTTTGCACACGTTGGTCGTCCTACTTCAGTTCATAGTTTGATTACTATTACAGCTACAAAAGGATGAAAATTGTTTCAATGGATGTGAAAAATGCGTTTCTAAATGGTAATCTTGTAGAGGAAGTTTACATGCAACCACCTCTTGGACTTAAGCATCCTCCGAACAAAGTTTGTCGATTGAAGCGAGCTCTGTATGGTTTGAAAAAAGCACCTCAAGCCTGGTGTAATACCCCAAATTTTTGGGAATTTTATCATTTAAGTTAGGGACTTGATTGTGAGAAAAGATTGTTTTGGGGCTTGATGGCCAATATTTCAAAAGTTGAGGGACATAAAGAGGGAAAGATTTTGGATAAGGATGACTTCTTTTCTTTTCTCCTTTTTCTTTCTTTCTTTTCTTCTTCCTCCCCGCGTGTTCTACTCTGTCTTCCCGCTGCAGCCGCCCGAAGAAAAAAAAGAGGAACCCAGCCATGCCTTGGAAGATTGGTGAGAAAGCTTGGTTTTCTCCTTCTTTTCTTGCTCTAGAACACTTCTAGAACCCATAAATCTCTCCCCCTCTGCTGGAAAATCCGGATCTGCTCTGTCCTTCCTCTCTTGTCCGCCAGCCCTTCCTGCTTTGTGGGGGCGAATTGCTTGATTTTTTGGTAAGAAATAGCTCGAATTCTCCCTTCTCTAGCTTTGAATTGCCTTGGGTTTACCTTAATTGCTCTTATTCCCTTTAATTTTTGGGTAGCCCATGAGCTTTCTTCTGCACTACCGCCGGCTTCTCCCCCTGCCAAGTCCGGTTCTGCAACTGGAAAATTTATGGTAGGTTGGCTTCTCTAATTCTCGAAAATTGGTTGATTAGTGGCTGCTTTGTGATGTCTGAATTTGGCTAGAAAATGGGGATGAAATTGACAGTAATTAGACCATGATTTAGCTTGATTCAAGTGAATTTATGTGATTGAGTGTTAATTGATTGCTGTGATTTTTGGAGAAAATCCCGTGAATTAGCTAGTGTTTTGGCCAATTTTTGGAAGTGCAGTTACTGTTCACGGGTACTGTTCACATGGTACTGTTCACACACCGAGGGCCAACAATTAACGGGGATTTAAATGATTAGTTTGTGATATGAGAATGATTTTGGAGATATTTGATCATGTGGAGATTTATGGAAATAGCATTGTGATTAGGAATGATGCTAATGATGAGTTTACCTTGAATTTGTGATAGTGGTATTAATTCGTGGATATTTTGATTAGGTTCCCGATTGTTCTGTCAGTTAGCATTGAGATTGAGTGCTCGGTTTTATGCGAGTGAGGTAAGTAAATTTATGGTAATTCCCGTACTGTTTTAAAAGCATGTTTTGATTTGTTTTTGAAATGGTGGCAGGACTAAACCTGTTTTATACAAGTATGACTGATTTGAAGTGAAATGTTTTGTGCTTTTCATGAAATTGAGCATGCCTACTTGAAATTTGAGTGACTGTCCTGATGATCTGAAAGTGATTGTGAATCATGATTTTCCTGTTAACTTCTGCCTGTTTTGTCTCTGATGTGGTCATGTTATTCGTGACCCTGCTAGTGGGGGAGGTTATAAACGCTAGCACATGTCAACATGTTAGTGAAAGAGCCGGTTCGTTCAACCCAGCTAGTGGGGGTTATACACCAACAAATCGTGGTCCTGCTAGTGGGGATTATACACTGGCCGTGACCTATAGAGGAGACGTCTATTTCGTTCCCGTACTGTATCCGTTTTGCGTGATTGCACATGTTGGCATGCTATAAGTTTGATAAGGGGCACTCCATATTTTACTTACTGAGTTTATCTCATAGTTTTCCTTGTCCACCATTTCAGGAAGTGAAACCGAGGACGGGGAAACCACGGGAAGTGACGAGTTAGAAGGCTAACCATATTGTAATTGGATATAAATTTTAGATATGAATCATGATCTTGTATTTGGAGATTTTATGATATTAGAGTAAATTTTAAAGATTTGATCTTCAGATTTTGGTGGTATCAGAGTGTGTTATGATAAGTTCCGAGCCTTGTGCACTTGTGGGACCCGTCTCACGAGTGTACGGCGTCTGTCGCGTCCTCGGATTTGGGTTCTGGAGTGTGACATCTGGTTTGCCAAGTTTAGCACCACCATCAGTGAATTTGGTTTTACTTCTAGTCTTCATGATACTTCATTGTTCATACGCAATACTAATTATGGTATGGTTCTACTACTTTTTTATGTTGATGATATGATCATTACTAGGGATGATATTTCAAGTATGCATGTTCTTAAGCAATTCTCAGTCATAAGTTTAAGATGAAAGATCTCAATGCTTTGAGTTATTTCTTGGGACTTGAGGTCACTTCTTCTGATGATGGTTATCTTTTCTTCCAAACAAAATATGCTTCTAATCTTATATCTAAAGCTGGACTCATTGATAGTAAGACTGCATCTACTCCTCTTGAGCCAAATGTTCGACTTACACCCATGGATGGCTCTCCATTAGTTGATCTTATTCACTACAAATAGTTAGTTGGAAGTTTGATTTATCTCACTACAACATGACCAGACATAACTTATGCAGTTCATGTTGTTAGTCAATTTATGCCTACACCTCACTTCACTCACCATGCAGTAATACTTCGCATTATTCGCTATATTAAAGGTACCATTTTTCATCAACTTCACTTTTCTACTTATTCATCTCTTGAACTTTGTGTTTGCTCTGACGCTGATTGGGCTGGAGACTCTAATAATTGTAACTGGATATTGTCTTTTTCTTGATGATTCCTTAATCTTTTGGCGTAGCAAAAAGCAAACAGTTCCATCATGTTCTAGCACAGAGGCTGAATATTGAGCACTTGGAGACACCACATCAGAGTTACTTAACTTACGTTGGCTACTGGAAGATATGGGTGTTCCTCAACCACCTGCTACTAATCTTTATTGTGACAATTAGAGTGCCATGTAGATTGCTCATAATGATGTCTTCCATGGACACACTAAACACATTAAGATTGACTATCACTTTGTTCACCATCATGTTGCACAAGGAATTATTCATTTGGTTTTCATTGGCTCCATTGATCAACCAGCAGACCTTTTCACCAAGGCTTATTTTCCTAGACACTTTCATACTCTTCTTTCCAAACTCAAGTTGATTTTGTTGTACCTATGATTTTGATGATTACAAAACACATTTGAGTGACTAATTGGTTTATTTAAGTGTGTAGTTAAGTTGCTAAAAGATTGCAAGTAAACTTGGATTGCACTAAAAATAGACCAAAAGGATTTAAAATGTGCAGAGAGCCGGCTCTGGAAGCTACAGCCGGCTCTACGAGCAAAAATTTGAAGACCGTTGTTTGGCGCGTGCGAAGAAAAGACGCAAAGCTGACTCCAACTTTGCAGCCGGCTGTGAGGGTGCATTTAATGCACAACGATTGACTCTTTTGAAGAGTATTTAATGTATTTAAAGTCGGAGTTCCAAAGTCGGCTTAAAGTTTTGCAGCCGGCTCTCGAGGAAAATAGAATGTGCAGGAATCCCGCAAAGCCGGCTGTAGAAATGGTGAGCCGACTGTTTAGAGCCGGCTCTAGGAAGTTAAGCCAGCTCTTCTGACAATTCTGCAACTCGAGCTTTGTGTCCTACAGAGCATTTAATGACCCCCAACAGCTAGAAACGGCTATTTTCAAGCAAAGGGCTATAAATATGGTTGGTAACAGATCTGAAGAAGTTTAGAGAGCATTGTGTTGAATATCTTTACCTACCTACATGAGCTTTAACTTGAGTTTTTGATCTTTGAGAGATCTTTGTTTGTAATTCTCTTCTTGTGCTATTAGTGAGTGATCTTGGGGGTGTGTTGCTTCCTTCAAGAGTGATCTGTAGAGAGGATCTTTGAGGTTTAAGTGTAAAGGGGTGATATTTGAAAAAAACCCTTCTTCTTGTAAAGGATTGAGTGGCTCCTTTAAGCGACCATTGTTTTTGTTAGTGGAGAGTGTGGAGGAAATCCTTGGTGAGTGAAGCCAAGGTAGAGGACTAGGCTCCAAGTGGTTGGACCGAACCTCTATAAAATCATTGTGCAAGCTCTTTTTCTCAACTCTCTCTTTAATTTTTGTTTGGTGGTTGCAAAGAGGTGAAAATTCTCCAACTCCAATTCACCCCCCCTCTTGGAGTGCATTGAGTCAATAGATTTCATCACAACCACCTTGAGTTTGAGGCACAATTATTGTAAATATTTTATACATTAGAATATTCTCTTTGTAAATTTTATACCTTAGAATATTCTCTTTGTAAACACCTATATATAGGTCATTGTATTTATAGTATTATTCAAGGAAGCAATAAACCTTTCTTCAAATATTTCTCCTTCTTTTTCATTCCTAACACTAACTTAAAGCTCTCCTTCAACCAACCATTTTTTTCCTCCACAATACTACCTAGATCACATATATCTCTCCACCAAATTGACCCCATCGCTCTACCCTCACACATGTAGTGGAATCCACTACCCCCCCCCCCCTCCAACTATATTTCTCCTTTACCACCTTATTCCACATCCCATTTTCCTTATTAGATACTTTCCACCACCACTTCCCAAGTAAGGCTATGTTAAAAGCTCTCAAGTCCTTTATCCCTAACCCTCCCATGTCCTTTCCTTTACATACCACCTCCCACCTTATCCAATTGACTTTCCTACACTCCTTACCCCTAGCCCATAAAAAACCCTTCCACAATTTATCCAAAATAGAGATTATGCCTTTGGGTATGAGGAACACAGACATGTAGAACACAAGTAAAGACAACAGCATAGAGTTCAAAAGTGTAATTCTTCCTCCAAGAGACAAATGCTTCCCCCTCCAGCTTGCTAGTTTCTTCTTAAAAACATCAACTAGGGGCTGCCATGTGCTGAGTCTCCTTGGGTTCCCACTGACCGAAATACTTAAGTATTTAAAAGGAATTGAACCCTCTTTACAGTTTAGTATGCATGCCATTTTCATCAACCATTCTTGTTGAACATTGACACCCATAACACAACTTTTTCCAAAATTGATTTTCATGCCTGAAACAAGTTCAACTAGTCATATGATGCTCTTGGTAGCCTAAACATTATCCTCATATGCCTTGCCAAACAAAATTGTATCATTAGCAAACTGTAATTGTGAGATACTATACCCATTATTCCCCACCTCCACACCTTTAAGCATTCCTTTCTCAATAGTAGAATTAATTATACCATTGAGTCTTTCTGCTACAATTAGAAATAAGAACAACAAGAGGAGATCCCCTTGTCTTAAACCTTTACTGATATGAAATTGTCAAGTAGCACTTCCATTTAGCAAAACTGACACTGTTGAGGACAATAGGCACTCCCTAATCCATCTTCGCCATACCTCATTAAGCCCCATGCATAGAAGCATATAGTCTAAGAATTTCCAACTTACATTGTCATAAGCTTTTTCAAAATCAACTTTGAAGACAAAACATCCCTTCTTCTTCCTCTTTACTTAATCTATTAACCCATTTGCCACCATTACACAATCAACTAATTGTCTTCCCTTTATAAAAGCCATGTGTTGCTCTCCAATAACTTCATCCAAAACCACACTTAATTTGTTGGCTAACAACTTAGCAATGATGTTATACATGACCCCAATAAGTGAAATAGGTCTAAATTCCTCAATCCATTGAGGATTCTCCACCTTTGGTATAAATACTATGAATGAAGCATTACACCCTTTGACTAGCTTCCCATTCCATTGAAATTCCTATACAAACCCCACTACATCATCCTTCATTCTATCCCAGTTTTCTCTAACAAACCGGAAATTGAAGCCATCTGATCCTAGAGCTTTTGAACCTTCACAATCCCACACAGCTCTTTTTATCTCTTCTTCCGTGAATGGCACTGTGAGTGACTCCCTCTGCTGCTGGTTTATTTTCTTAATTACCCCATTCGGTAATCCTCAATTACCCCAGCCTTTTTTTTTTTTTTGTTATTTACTCAATCATTTTACTGTTGAGTTTTAAATTAATTGGTGGTGGGAACACTATAGGATTCAGAAGGGAATTGGAAGGTTGAAGCCATGGTGACCTTAATTGACTGTGTAGCAGGCGTCGTCTTTTTTCTTTTTTCTTTTTTCTTTTTCTTTTTTT